AAACTGTTTGCAGTTTTTTGCGCAGGGGCCACAGCAAAATGTGGGTCTCATAAAATTTGTGCCCCACAGGGGTGCAGAGTCCTCCCAGGAATGATGAGACTATGAGACTGCATGAAAGCAAATATGGGGAATTAAGAGAGCTAGAAATTATTGTGCATTGGTGGGAAGTTCTAAAATCTACAAGCGTAGGAGGAGGATGGGGCAACCTAAGATGAAAATCAAGGTGCTGATGACAATTTGTCTTAAAGCAAGATAAAGAACAGGCTTTGTGAAGGCCAACTCAGACTGCAGGGACAGAGCAGGGCTCATTGGAACACGCACATACTCAATAAAAGCATCCCAGCATCACAGTGAAGGGCAAACAGAACCAGGACTGAATACACGATAGGGCAAGATAAGATGGCTAGCAATAGGTGAAGGATTATTATAAAAAAAATCTGGTAAAAATAAACAGCCAGAAAGTAAGCTCATTAATAAATTGGGAGGATGAAAAAGCAGTAACAGCTCTTACATGGCTTACTGATTTTTTTTTTAAATAAAGGAGCGGTTTGGATAACTAGGAAGTAATGAAGACTTAATACTAATAAAAAAGCAGGCAAGCAAATACTTAGAATTTCTGTGAGATCCATTTCTCTACTCTCCAGGTGACATGCATCTTATGTTTGTAATCTTTACTGATTCATTACATCCTGGAGCATTGGGAAGTTACCAGAGGACAGTTAGGGTGAAGAAGGCGGTATCAATCATCAAAAAAGGAAAAACAAGTGATCCTAGAAATGACCAACAGGGAACTCTACATTCAACCCCTAAGAAAATGGAACAAAATAAGTAAAGAAAATGGTAAACATCTAGACTGGGGTTTTCAAAGGAGCCTAAAAGGCCCCCAAATCCCAGTGACCAAAATTGGAATACCTAGCTCTCTTTTGAGAAAGTGTTAATGTATGAAGAGAACACAGGAGATGTTACTAACTGTCAGGGAAGTTAAACACTGGACTAAATTGCCTAGGGCAGTTGTGGAATCTCCCTCACTGAAGATATTTAAGAGCAAGTTAGACAGACATCTATCAGGGATTGTCTCTAGACGGTGCTGGGTCCTGCCGTGAGGGCAGGGGACTGGACTTGACCTCTCGAGGTCCCTTCCAGTCCTAGGATTCTATGCAACATCCGATTACTGCCATTTCCTTCATAGATTTAATGCTGACAGCTCCTTTTCCCAGGTATGCAAGTGCACAGACGTCACCAGTGCCAAGTAAAAAGGAGTTAGTTGAAGCCTACAACTGGTGAGATGGAAGGTAGGATGATGGGAAGTAGCAAACACCATAACATCTTCCATCAAGGGCATCTATTCTACAATCACCAAGATGATATGCAGCGTAGCTAGGGTTGCCATGTGTCCGGTATTGACCCGGACAGTCCGGTATTTTCGTCTCCTGTCCGGTAAAAAAAAAATTCAGAAAATACCAGACACCTAAAATGTCCAGTATTTTCTGATTTTTTTCCCTTGCCAGGAGGTGAAAATATCGGATACCTGGCAACCCTACCAATACTCAGCAACCGGGCCCAGCTCCGATTACCTGGTTCCACAGGGGAGTGGTCTTTTGGCTCAGAGCAAGAAAACAAGATGACCACCAGCATAAAGCCTCAAAAGGATTTGTTAAAGGGGACATGCTTTTTTATTATTATTATTATTTTTTTTTTTGCTTAACTCTCAGGGTCCTTTTTTTTCCTCAACAACTTTGGTCTCCCCATTTCTCCTCCCCCCCAACAGAATTTTTCCCCCGGTGGGTTTTTTTTGGGGGTGTGAGGGAGAAGAGAGGAAGGGAGGTATTCGGTATTTTTAGTTAAACCATCTGGCAACCCTAAGCGTAGCGCTCAGAGCCCCTGACTGAGATCTGGGCCCATTGGTGCTAGGTACTCTACGGCTGTGTCTACACTGGGCCACTTATTCCGGAAAATCAGCCGCTTTTCTGGAATAAGCTGCGAGCTGTCTACACTGGCCCTTGAATTTCCGGAAAAGCAACGATGCTCTACTGTACAAAATCAGCCGCTATTCCAGAAAAACTATTCTGCTCCCGCTCGGGCATAAGTCCTTATTCCGGAACACTGTTCCGGAAAAGGGCCAGTGTAGACAGCCCAGTAGTCTTTTCCAGAAAAAAGCCCCGATCATGAAAATGGCGATCGGGGCTCTTTTCCGGAAAAGCGCGTCTACATTGGCCACAGACGCTTTTCCGGAAAAAGGCTTTTCCGGAAAAGCAGCCTGCCAATGTAGACGCTCCTTTTCCGGAAAATCTGAAAACGGAATAGTATTCCGTTTTAAGCAGTTCCGGAAATTCATGCCAGTGTAGACATAGCCTACAGGTATACAGTAAGAAACAGCTGCTGCCATGAAGAGCATCCAATCTTAAATCCAGTGTTACAAACTCATGCAAATGGTTAATTTCACACCAGAGAAACCACTGATTTCAGAAAATGTCTCACATGGCTAAAGTCAAGCAGGTACATGTTTACAGGACGGGTCCTAAAGAAATAAGACACACACCAAGTAGAAGAAAGGGACTATTATCCACATTTCACAGATGGAGAACTGAGGCTAAAACAAAATGAGTGCCTTGCCCAGGGTCATGCAGGAAATCTGAACTCAAATCTTCTGAGTCCCACAGGGCCTGCCTAGATACCTCATTGCTCCCCACCAGCCAGAGAACCACTGTTGGGAAAGAGACATTTTTCCCCCCAGTTACAAATCAGATGGAGGGGGACCTGGCACTGTAACCTGTGCTCCCATAGCCTAAGGCTAGATACTACGATGCACTGCCAGCTGAGAGAGAAGGCTCAAGACTGAAGAGGCTCATTACTGTTCACAAAGCAACAGCTCGCCTGCCCATCAGCAAACTGCCAGGAGTTTCTCAAGCCAGTGTTCCAGACACTGCACCATTTCCCCAAATTCAAAGGTCCATTCCTCTTATTCAAAACTCTTAAGCAAGTGGGCCTCGGCATGGGTACAATTTTCAAAAGGACCTAAGTGACACAGGACTCTAAATCCCACTAAAGTCAATGGAGTTTGGGTTCCTGATCAGTTAAATGCATTTGGGAAATGTTACCCCTTTCTCTCTCTCCAACGTATCTGATTTTATACTGAAAGAAATTATTTCATTTTCACTCACGTCCAGTTTTATTCACTGAATACCTTGAGCACAAAGTCTAAAATACCTCACTCCCAGTCAGTGTTCCAGGCTCTGACTGGGCAGGGCTGATTAATCACCAGTGAAGCTGTGCTGCCAAGCAGCTTAAAGGAACACTGCTCTCAATCACTGCTAAGGTATCTTGCCGCTTAGTGATCACTAAAGGCCCAACCCAACTCCCACTGAAGCCAATCGAAATCTTTCCATTGGCTTCACCCTGACCTGGACTGGATCACATATGCAGCAATTCCTGTCTGTTGTCTAAAAATACCATTCTGCAATGTTAAAGGTTCTACTATATGCAGGTTGCATAACTCGCTGGATAGTCGTTCTCAGAGAATAGTTATTAACGGTTCACAATCATGCTACAAGGGCATTACAAGTGGGGTTCTGCAGGGGTCTGTTTTGGGACTGGTTCTGTTCAATATCTTCATCAGCGGTTTAGATATTGGCATAGAGAGTACCCTTATTAAGTTTGCAGATGATACCAACTTGGGAGGGGTTGCAACCACTTTGGAGGAAAGGGCCATAATTCAAACTGATTCAAACTGGACAAACTGGAGAAATGGTCTGAGGTAAATAGGATGAAGTTTAATAAGGACATATGCAAAGTGCTCCATTTAGGAAGGAACAATCAGTTTCACACATATGGAATGGGAAGCAACTGTCTGGGAAGGAGTACTGAAGAAAAGGATCTAGGGGTTATAGTGGACCACAAGCTAAACATGAGTCAACAGTGTGATGCTGTTGCAAAAAAAGCAAACGTGATTCTGGGATGCATTAATAGGAGTGTGGTGAGCAAGACACGACAAGTCATTCTTCCGCTCTACCCTGCGCTGATTAGGCCTCAGTTGGAGTGTTGTGTCAATTCTGGGCACCGCATTTCAAGAAAGATGTGGAGAAATTGGAAAAGGTCCAGAGAAGAGCAGCAAGAATAATTAAAGGTCAAGAGAACATGACCTATGAAGGAAGGCTGAAAGAACTGGGCTTGTTTAGTTTGGAAAGGAGAAGACTGAGGGGGACATGAGAGCAGTTTTCAGGTATCTAAAAAGGGGGTCACAAGAAAGAGAGAGAAAAATTGTTCTCCTTGGCCTCTGAGGACAGGACAAAAAGCAAAAAGTACTGGGGTCCTGCTGTGAGGGCAGGGGACTGGACTTCATGACCTCTCGAGGTCCCTTCCAGTTCTAGTGGTCTGTGATTTGATGATTCTATGAAATTCCAAGTACACTACATCCACTGGCTCATTCTTGTCCAAATGTTTGACGACTCCCCTCAAGAATTCTGATAGATTAGTGAGGGATGACTGTCCTTTACAAAAACCATGTTGATTCTTCCCCAATAAATCATGTTCATCTATGCATCTGGTCATTCTGGTTTTTTACTGTAATTTTAATTTGCCTGGTACTGAAGTTAGTATTGGGCTGTAATTGCAGGGTTTGCTTCTGGAGCCTTTATGAAAAATTGGTATAGCATTAGCTATCCTGGAGGCATCTGGTGCAGAAGCTGATTAAAGCATCCGCAGGCATGGCCGCTCCCAGCGGCCAGCCCGCCTCACTTCCTGAACAGAGAGCAACTCTGCCTGCCGACGCTCAAGTAAACAAAGCATCTTGTGGCCAGCTAGCAACTTACATAAACCACAGCCCAACATTTGAAAACCACGGACTGAAGTGATAGGTTATGCACCATAGTTAGTAGTTCTGTAATATAGGACTTCGTTCATAATTACATCAAAAGTTTTTAACAGTTTAGAGAAAAATGCAGAACAGAGAGCAACTCTGCCTGCCGACGCTCAAGTAAACAAAGCATCTTGTGGCCAGCTAGCAACTTACATAAACCACAGCCCAACATTTGAAAACCACGGACTGAAGTGATAGGTTATGCACCATAGTTAGTAGTTCTGTAATATAGGACTTCGTTCATAATTACATCAAAAGTTTTTAACAGTTTAGAGAAAAATGCAGTTATAGAATTTAGAAGCAATTCAACTTACTTTGCAGAATACAGCTGTGAGGTATAATCATTTGGTGACCTTGGGATGTAATCAGTGCATGTCAGAACTGAAAAAGAAACATTTTACACAGCAAAATTGTGAAAACAGGATTTTTTAAAAAATTACACAATTTCAAAAAAAGTTACAAAATCTTAATGAATCAGAGTGAAACATTTAGCATGGCCCACATTGTGTTCTAACCTGAAAAACCAGGTAGCTTATGAAGATTTTGGAGTGCGTGCTTTGGGTATTTGGCTTTAAAAGATTTACAGGCATGTGTTATGTAAGCAGGGTGAAAATGTAACTTCTGCTCCGCAAAGAAGTGCACCGTTCAGAGCAGCAAGTTGTCCCTTCACTGACCGTAACACCAGCATCTCTGGTCTTCACTGTGCACTTTGATTTTGGCCATGTGCCAAATCCCCTGAACATTCTACAGTTCTACACGTGCCGCTGGGCCCAATGCCTCACTTCAACGTGCACTGTGCTAACTGCCTGAAACCCAGCTGTTACCGGAGCAGCTAGAGAGACCATGACGCCAAGTTGAGTCAGGTTCTGCCTCCAGACCCTTCTCCCCTGCCCCCAAAACACATGGCCCCGGCAGCTCACCTTTTCCCTCTGGTAGTACCACACAGGGAAGGAAGCGGATAGCTGACTACCTGATAGGCCTAGGCTACTCGACTACTCGCTCCCCCCACTTGCTGTCTCTGTATCAGAAGCAGCAAAGGGAGGGGGAAGCAGGAGCCAGTGCTGGGGGGGGGAGCTGGCTTAAAAGCCGATTCTCCCCAGCACTGTCTCTGCACATCAGGGGAGGGTGAAGGGCAGGGGAGGCAGAGTCACAGCAGTCCAGAACACGGCGTGAGCTGGGACTGCTTTTACTACATTTAAAAGGCAGAGCTGCAGCGGAGATCGGTCCAGGACCCCGCGCCAGCCAGGACAGAGCAGTCCCGGTACGCGCCAGGTCCCAGACCGCTGCCCCTCACAGCCACCTGGGCTCTTATTACATTTAAAAGGCAGAGCCGCAGCGTGAGTGGATCCTGGACCCTGCCTCCCCTTACCAACTAATTGTGTAGTTGATACAAATTGCATCGACTACACGATTAGTCAATTACCTGCTTCTTAACATGCTTAGCACCACATTAGGCAGGGTCCCTTCAACCCATCTCTTGGGACAGGATAAGAACTCCTGGAGCAGAGAAACAGCCTGGCTGCTGTCAGAACAGCTGTGACAGCAAGCAGGAGAGAAGCAGGCTTTACCACCTGCCCTGGATCCAGCACATGGCACTGGAAGCCTTGGGACACCACATGGGACAAGAGTTCACCTCTCTCCCAGGGGCAACACAACAGGGCAGTCTGCAAAGACACCCACTGAGCTTCCGTGTCTGTTCAGAAGAGTTTGCCACATTTCATCCCGGGCCAGACTGACTGTGAATGGGGGCTAGTTCGTCAAGTCATTGCTTCCGTGCGTTATCCACCTCCGCTGCTGGATTGTCCGCTATAGTACCAGGCTTCAGCTGCCTGCTAATGTAGCACCCATGGGGCTCCTGGACAACCATCTGAGCTGCAGTTCAAACCCTGATCATGTGATATTTATTACAGTTGTACATGCCAATATTTACACATTTTTCTGTTTAAAAATGCAAAAGGAAATTTAAGTGGAGGTGTAGGCACAGGGTTTGGTTATTCAGGTTCTAAGGCCAGCACTCAAAAGTGCAGAGATGTTGTATTTGATGTTGGGCATGTGCTTTATAATACACTTCATAATTACACATTCTGGTTTTTCTACCAGATTCCAGCCTCATTTAGCACACAGGGCACTCGGGGTTCAGAGAATCAATCAGGACAGTGCAGGTTATTCTAGTTGGTGGACTCTCTGCCTCATTTGCTCCCAAAGTTTAAAGGCGCACAGAGAAAGGGAACTGCAGGAAGAAAAGGGATGCTCCTGGAGCAAAGGCAGTTAAATGTCACTTAGCACTGGCGTCTATCCTGGCTCTCCCGCACACTTCCCATGCCTCTTCAACCGATACTGTTGACAGCTGGCCACAGCCTGCCCCTCACTTTCTAAGTACCCAGGGGCTGGATGCACAGAAGTACTGCGTGCTCAGAACTGTACGTCAAGCCAACAGGAGCTGGGGTGCTGCACACCTCCAGCAGCAAGGCAGTGGGATGGGGAGAAGGGATGTTCGCGTGTAACCACCAAGCTGATGCTTATCGCGCCACCGGCTCCAGGGCAGGCAGTTTCATTGCGGCAGAAAAGCTGCCTCCCTGGGAGTGGAGTCAGCAGGGACCGGCGGCTCAGCTCCGGGGGAGGCTTCACTGCAGAGCCCACTTTATACTGCAGAGCCTGCCGTGTGCAACCTGGAATCGCTGAGCTTTTCAGCAGCTACACAGTTAGCTATTGAACCAACTTTTAACATCCCCCATGGGGAGCTGGAGGCACAGGGTTTGGTTGTCAGAAGCAGCTGGGGTTGGAGTCTGGCTCTCCCACTGATCCAACATGTGTCCAACAAGCCCCTTTCTCTCAGTTTTCTTTCAGCAAACCAGCCAAATAGCCATGTGTGGCTAGCGTGTTGGACACCAGGGTGTACACAGTTAACTAGCCCCCACCCACGCTGAAGCCTCTTATACAGAGGCAGCAGTGCAGGGTGGGAGGAGGGAGCTCCATAGGAGCTGCCTCCCCTCATATGTAAAACGCGAACTTCTCAGCAGTTATACATTTGCCTAAACAAACACATTCTAACATTCCTATTGTAGACACAGTGCACCATGGCAGGCCTCAGACAGGGAAGATCATGGCGATCTCGTCACCTCTTGGTCATCTGTGCTAAAGGTGCCAGGAGATGCTTAGGCGCTCTGAACTCCAGGGCTATCGGTATGCCAATGACACTAAGCTCCACACCAAGTACAAAGGACGCACTCCACTTCCCCCCGCTGCCACTGTCCCGTGGTGTAACCTTCCATAGGTTGTTGCTTCTGCATCAGTTTCCCAGCTACAAAATGCAGCTTCCTACCCTCAGAGGGGTTGAGAGAAACTTTTCTTGTGCAGCTCTGAGAGCTTCTGATTTACTGTGCATTAGCAGTGCAAACGATTATATCGGACTTCACTCGGTGTTTGTGCTGAGGTAGTGAAGAGACCAGTCCTGTGCAGATACTGTCTGTCATTCCCAAACAACAGCCCCTGCCCCAAGGAAATGACAATCTAGATTTAGACAATGAGAAAAGAACAGGCAAAGAGGAGAATGGGGAAGACACAGAAATGACAGAGGCAGGAGTGTTTGCATCAGCAGTCATAGGGAGTCACCGAGCTAACCAAGGCCGGACAGTTGGGATTTGTGGTCATGGCAGCAAAGGCAGGTTTTAAAGAGGTTCTGATAGTGACTTGGTGAGTTTTGACCAGGAATGCTCCTCTAGCACAGGGACATGCGTGGGAGAGGCCAGGAAGGAGTCTGGGAGAGAAACAGAGGAAGCAGATGCAGATTGGCATCCTTAGTGGAACAAAAGCAGCCTCTGATTAGAAATGAGATTTGAAAAGTAGGATGGGCTAGAGTAAATGCTGCAGGACTAAGACGCTTGTACTTGGTGCAGGAGACCAACGGAGGGAGCGAGAGGTCAGAACCAAGGAGAAGAGCGAGCCTTACTTTCACTCGACATGGGAAGATTTGAGCCAAGGCTTGAAGGTTCGGGTTTCGGATCACTGACTTCGGTGGTGCTCACTTGACTGAAAGGATAAAAGTCCATGTTAGCCACCAACATCACTAATCTGCGCACTAACACGACTGGACATTTGTAGCAATTGGTGTTAGCATTCCTAGCCAACAAAAACCACAGACTGCTAAGGAAACGCTCTGCACTATTTCACACTTACCAACACACAAGAGGTTCTGGAAGATATCCTCGCACCTCGTCACAAACCTCAAACCCTCACCTCCTTCAGGGTGTTAACTTGCTAATCTTCTCAAAATAATGCGACTACAGAAATCTAACATAACCTTTACTATAACGTGCAAATGTGAAGAATTGTAAAGGGACAAAAGCAATCCAGGTCACAGTTGGGTTGTGGGTGGCCAGACCTAGTGGTCAGCGCCAGAGTCCAGGGTCACAGGACAGGGATTAAGAGTTAGCTAGGTCTGGACACCAGGAGACAAACTGGGGATCAGAATCACAAATCAGGTACCAGAGTCATGCCAGAAACCAGAATGACAAACCAGATGCCAGAAAAATCAAGCAACAAGAGCAGAAAGCACAAGGCGCACAGTCAGACACCTTCCCACTCCTGCTGCTGGCTTAAGTAGGGTCAGCCAGCCATCAGCTGCTCCTGAATTCCACTAACAGTGGTCCCATGCAAGCATCAACATGGAAGGCTGGAGCATAACTGCTCCAGGAAATTGTTCAGACCCAGGTTTAATATTCGGGGCTCATGACAATCCAGTTAATCAGAAGAGATATGAAGCTGTCCCCCTCATTTTCACAGACTGATTTGATACGTACAGAATGTTTCTCTCTAAATGTAGTGATTAATATTATCAAAGTAAAAATGTGCTTAACAGCAATTAAGCAAAAACCATGTATCACTGATTCTAAAATAAAAGACGCAAGCAATCAGAGAGTTCCCTACATGGTGAATAACTGTCTCATCTTCTGCTCCCTGGAACCTATTAAATAGAGAACTACAGTGCCATATTAAAAGCTAGATGTAGAATCAAAGAACTGGAAAGGACCTCAAGAGGTCATCAAGTCCAGTTCCCTGCCCTCACGGCAGGGCCACGCATCATCTAGATCATCCCTGATAAATGTCTACTCAACCTGCTCTTAAATATCTCCAGAGATGGAGATTCCACAACCTCCCTAGTCAATTTATTCCAGTGTTTAACCACCCTGACAGGAAATTTTTCCCAATGTCCAACCTAAACTTACCTTGCTGCAGTTTAAGCCCGTTGCTTCTTGTCCTATCCTCAGAGGCCAAGGTAAACAATTTCCCCTCCTCCTTCCCCCCCATGACACCCTTTTAGATACCTGAAAACTGCTATCATGTCCCCTCTCAGTCTTCTCTTTTCCAAACTGAACAAGCCCAATTCCTTCAGCACATGTTTTCTAGACCTTTAATAATTTTAGTTGCACTCCTCTGGACCTTCTCCAATTTCTCCACATCCTTCTTGAAATGTGGTACCCAGTTGAGGCCTAATGAGTGCAGAGTAGAGCGGAAGAATGACTTCTAATGTCTTGCTCACAACACACCTTTTAATGCATCCCAGAATCACGTTTGCTTTTTTTTTCCAAAAGTGTCAAAGTGTTGACTCATATTTAGCTTGTGGTCCATTATGGCCCCTAGATCCCTTTCAGCAGTATTCCTTCCTAGAAGGTCACTTCCCATTCTGTATGTGTGAAACAGATTGTTCCTTTCTTCCTTTCTAAGTGTATGCTAATGTTGTTTCAAGATTTAGCATTCTTATAAAAACTCATTGTGTCTCAAAGAATATTTTTGTTTAAAATAGAAATTTCTCAAACTTATGTTACTTTCCAAAAGGAAAATAAATTATGAGAAACCCATGTCTTGTGAAAAATGCACACAGCAACATGCACCGGTTTCTCAGTTGAAGCATACAATGAAAACAAGAAATGGACAATTGGCCTACACTAAAATCAAACTTGGTACTTACGCACCTTAAGTCTTGTTCTCCAGATTCCTGCATCTTGGCCTTTTTCACCTGTAAAGATAAAAATGTTCAGACACACCATGAGAGAGATATGTCCTTGACAATCTCTGTTTACAAGTGACAGGCTGCAGTTAGAAGCTACTCATTGTTGCAATAGAGTTACTATTAATAGTTGTTTAAATTCCATAATGCAACCTGTAGGCTCACTGATTTAAATAGCTGCTGCCACCCCAGAATTTGTTTGCAAGGCTGATTTTTTTCCTCCCTGCTCCTCCCCCCAATAGACTCACTCAACACACTTTTTTGCAATTGGATATTCAAGTCCCAAGGTTTAGTAGGGACCTTTCTTTGTAACCCAAGGAACTCCATGAAATTCTAAAACATTCCTGTTCTGAACAGATCAAGCACTCAGACTGCGATGAACTAGATAATGCCCGACACAAGTAGTTTAAATCATTTCTTTGTTCACAACAGTAGCAAATCAGACATTCTGGCTTGCATTTCAGAGTAAGAGAAATTAAACTAGCATTTAATATTGCATCTGCGGATGGCTTACTAATTTAATGTTAGCATGGTGTACTATTGTAGGGGGAATCAATATAAACACATATTTGTCAGTTACTTCTGGTCCAAAATGAACTAGAATCCTATGAAGGCTTTGTGTCCTGTTTCCACTTTAGAATGTTAATAACTTCAGCTTCCAGTCCCTGGATCTCACAGCATTCCTATTTAAAATCTCTTAATCTTATCCCCTCTGAGACATCCTCTGAGACATACTCGCATTCCAACTCCCCTTCCATGCCACGCAGACTGTATCAGAATGGACATAACCCAGGATTAACCCTGGACGTCACTTCTTTCAGATTTCTCTCTAGTCTAAGCATGGTGATTGGTTATCACATGAATTTTGGCTCTTTTCATGACAATAAGCAAACAGCATGCTCATGGCACAGAGAGCAGGAACGTCCAACCTCTTCAAACAGAGTCAAAATGGTTCAGAAAGGGCAAACTGCCCCGCTAATTTGAGGGCAGTCTCCACCGCCTCCACTCCCTTTGGGCCAGCCAGGTGTCAAAGCTGGGGAGCAATGGCTGACTGATGTGGGATGGCTGAGGGGTTGTGTGGGCAGGATAACTGCCTTCCACTAGCTCTTCTAGATGGGGCACAGGCTCAGGTACACCCAGATGAGATCCCAATCTGCCCTCTTTGTGGGCCTAATTGGGGGAGCCCCTCTCCCCTGTCATACAGCAAGTGGTCCCTGGAGAGACCACTGCGCAGTGACTGCTCATGGCAGAGGTTCCAGCTCTGCCAATCACCTACTATGGAGGTGGAGACGGGAGGCTATTATTAGCAGTACAGGCACCTGCACAGTAACCCAAGCACAGACTTTCTGAAATGCTCGGTGCTCAGCAGCTCCAATTTGGGCACTTTGGGCTGGATTCTCAAGAGCATGCAGAACCCAGGGGACTCCTCAACATGCTGAACTGAAAATTGAAAAGCTGGCCTACGTGATTAAGACTGAAGCATTCTAGAATGGCCCTGCTTTGTTACAGAGAGCTGAGGTGTGCATTTACGATTCTGTCAGGAAACTGCTATACAGAATGAGTTAAAGTAACTGGGTATCTTGCCATCCCAGTCTTCCTGTAGATGTAGGTGGCCGGAGGAAAGCATCCTTCATACACCCTTCGGTGGGGAGCTTATCCCTGCACATGTTCAGAGGTGTGCAGGAGTTATACCCTACCTGGGAAGATCACCTCACCAGCTCTGCAGGACTCCCTGCATGCCACAAACCAGGCCATAGTGCACGTCAGTAATGGGGAAATTCAAGTCGCTTAATGTTTGAATTAAAAAACCTGCTTAGCTAATGTTCTGAGGGTCATGGTTCCAAGGTTCCAAGTTGGGTAATGTACGCAGAACGTGCAGGGATTCCACATTCAGATATCCCAAACTATTCATAGTCTCCATAACTGCACACAGACAGACTGAAGGGGGAGTTCTGAGTCAAGCCTCTAGAGGTATGATGGGCCCAACAGCTACAAGAAGTGAAATCACCTCCTTGTTTGAATCTTCATGTTTTCCCCCAAAGCAGCTTATCTAGTTTTCTTCAAAATCTTCTGAAACATCTAACTCTAGCACAGGATTACACATGGGAAATTTCAATGCAACTGGTTTAACTTTGGAGATATTAGGGCACTGGTCACCAGTAGATCTTGGAGCCTCTGACAGGTGCCTGACTGGTTTGGCCAGGACCCTATCAAGCGCTGGCACTTCAGTTGCCCCTCTACCCACTGTCATGCTACTCCTGCTCTGTGCCTTGGAGCTGCCCTTCTGGGAGCCTCCTGCTTCCTGTACACGGTGCGGGAGGGAGAAAGGGGGAGGTTAATGTCAGGGTGTCCCTCCTCCTCCTACTTCTGTACTCTATCTCCACACAGACAGAAGGGGATGATGGAAGGAGCTTGGCAATGCAAATCTCTGTCACTCACACAGTGTGTGTGTCTGTCAGTCTCACAAACACTCTGTCCTTCACTCATCTCCCAACCCCACACACACGGGAGGTGGTTGTTACTCCTTTTATCGCTTGCAAAGGGGGTTAGTTTGGGGTTTTGACTGGTCTGTGCCCTTCATAATTTTCATTTCTCTTACGCTTCTTTGAGCAGTGGGTTCTAAAATGCCAAACCAGTCTTGGCTGCAGTAATTATCCGTATGGTAACTGCTGCTCCTGGACGAGGCTGGCATGTCCCTCAGCCCCTGAGAAAGGCAGAGCACAGGGTCTCCACATGCTGTCCTTGCCTGCAGACACCACTCCTGCAACTCCCATTGATCAAGAATGGGGAACCATGTCCAACAGAAGCTGTGGGCTCAGTGCCGGTAGATGAGGGGCAGTACATGGTGCCATAGAGCCATTGCTGTACATGGAGTGTTACTTACAGGGTCAGGTCAGGAGTAATCCTGCCTTAACTCCACTGCTTCACCACCCAGAAGCCATCTCAGTTACACTGAGCCCAGCCTGAGCCTGCTTCCTGAACCCCAGTTCCAGCCCTGAACCTCCACCTGCACCCAAACTCTTTGCACCCCCCTCCTGGACCCCAATCCCACATTCTGAGCTAAGCCTAGAGCACCCTCCCACTCTCCAAATTCCATGGCCCAGGACCAGAGCTTGTACCCCAAATCCCTACCCCAGCCTGGTGAGGCTTGGGGAGGAAGGGAGATGGAGTGAGCAGGGTGAGACCTCAGCGAAGGAGTAGAGCAGGGGCAGAGCCTCAAAGGAGGAGCCGGAAGGAAGCAGGACAGGGTATCTGGGTTTGCGGTAGATCTTACATTGTGCTTAAATTGAAAAAGTGATCTTGTAGTTAAAAAGGTTGGAGACCATTGCATTAAAGGTACCAGGGTCACAGTAATTGTATAGGGAGGAGCTGAATTTCAGCCTCCACTATGGAGATAAGCAGTCTCTCTATTCCAGTGGTCCCCAACTGTGCCCGTGGGTGCCATGGCGCCCGCCGGGGCCGGCCTGAGCCACTCTTGCTCCTCGAGCCCCAGGCGCCCAGCAGCCCCAAAAGGTTGGAGACCACTGCTCTATTCCATAACAAAACCACAAAGGTTGTTACTAGGGATGTTACAGAGCCATTTAAACAATTAACCGATGAAGCCTGGGCTTATTGGTTAATCCAAAAGACTACATGCATACACAGCCTCCTGCTGCCTCTGTGTCAAACAGCAGAAGGGGCAGGAGCCAGTGCCCGTAGGGTGCAGTATTTCCTCCAATCTGCACGGTAACACAGCCCCACGGCTGCTTAGCGAGCCCAGCCCAGCCGGGGGCTCAGGCCCCGCACAGAGCTGCCTGGCCCTTCTCCCTCTCACAGCAGCAGCTCCCTTCTGAGGACAGAGCAGCCCATCTCTCCCAGCAGATAAGGAGAGGGCATCGGGAGGAGGGAGTGGCTGGGGGAGTCTGTGGGGAGGCATTTTGGGGTGTCCTGTCTCCCAGCTAGGCTGTGGCAGTGTGGAGAGGAGGAGCAACTTCTCAGATTACAGCAGCTGCCTGTTGTGAGACACCCAGCTCTCTCCCCCTGCCCTGTGCTGAGTGGGTGAGGGGTGAGAGGGTGCTGGTATTAGTAAGGTGGGGGTGAGGACTGAGTTCGGGGTGCCCTGACTCCCATCTGGGTTCTCACTCGCAGCACAATTGCCCACAGCTTCCAGTTCAGAGGAAAGGCACAGGACTCTCTCCTGGGATGGGGGGGGTGGAGGGGAGGGGAGGAGAGCAGGCTCCATGGGGGGGTGCCACAATTTCAGCTGGGTTACACTGGCATGCTGGGGTGTGTGGCTACATGGGAGATAGGGTGGTGGGGAAACGCCATTGTCTCAGTGTCAGAGGGAGCTTAGTACAAATACATCTGCCCTTTTCCTGTTGAGGCTGGAGTGAGGAGGAGTAGGTATTAATTACCAAATGATTGGTGACATGATTACAAAGATGTGAAATATGCCAAGAAAAATATTATTGGGGAGGGGAGGGGGGGGGGGGAGATATTTTCCACTGTTAGACTTATAGAGCAAACACTAAACAGTGAATCTTCTGCCATTCTAGACAAAAAAATTTAACACATATTTCCCTAGTAACATAAGAACGGCCAGACTGGGTCAAACCAAAGGTCCAACCAGCCCAGAATCCTGTCTGCCAACAGTGGCCAATGCCAGGTGTCCCAGAGGGAGGGAACACAACAGGTAATGATCAAGCGATCTCTCTCCTGCCATCTTCTCCGCTCTCTGACAAACAGAAGCCAGGGCCACCACTCCTTAAACATCCTGGCTAAAAGCCATTAATGGACTTAACCACCATGAATTTATCTAGTTCTCTTTTAAACCCTGTTATAGTCCTAGCCTTCACAACCTCCTCAGGCAAGGAGTCCCACAGGTTGTTCTGCCATTCTAGACAAAAAAATTTAACACATATTTCCCTAGTAACATAAGAACGGCCAGACTGGGTCAAACCAAAGGTCCAACCAGCCCAGAATCCTGTCTGCCAACAGTGGCCAATGCCAGGTGTCCCAGAGGGAGGGAA